TCAAGATTACCTAGAGAGGTTAAGCTTTTACCTAGAAGCAAACAACGTGACGATAGAAGCCAAAAAGAGAGCTGTTTTGTTAACAGTCATAGGGCCTCAACAATTTAGGCTACTAAAAGACTTATGCGCACCAGCTAGTCTAACTACCAAGAGCTTTAACGAGCTGAGCAAATTGCTAACAGACCACCATGCGCCTACCCCATCAAAGTTTTTATGTCGAGCTAGATTTGACAGTAGGACTCGTCAACCAAACGAGTCGATATCAGAATATGTTGCTGCTTTACGTCATTTAAGTGAATTCTGTGAATTTGGAGAAACGCTGTCTGACAGACTATGTGAAAAGTTTGTGACAGGTGTAAACAGCCCTGATATTCAAAGAAAGTTGCTGCTCGAGTCAGATCTAACATTAGAAAAAGCAATACAACTTGCAACTTCAATCCAGCAGTCATCAGATGCGGCGAAATCTCTAACGCCTTCAGGGATCCATGCAGTAAACAGCAGGTTAGTCAATAAACATCAACCCCATCAGAGCATTCCAACTTATGCTAAACAGCCTGCTCGTTCAAATCCTAGATCTAAATCTAGTAATAATTATCAAAAATGTCATCGATGCAAAGGTCCCCATGCATCTCATCAGTGCAAGTTCAAGTCTGCAACTTGTTATAAGTGCAGTGAGCAAGGTCACATTGCTAAGGCCTGCTTTGCAAAGTCTTCGTCTGTTGCTAAATCTAGCCAGTCAAGACAGTACCGCAACCAAAGGCAGCACTATGTTAACTCTCACCAAGACTACCTAACCCAACCAATGAACCACTCTACCTGTGAAAATGCTCAAACTGATTCGCAGCCGGATTTCAACCTGTTCTCTGTGAAATCAATAAGTCATGCTCCCATCAATGTACAAGTTAATATCAACGGTAAGAGCATCAGCTTCCAACTTGACACTGGAGCATCACTAACAGTCATCACAAAGAAAGATTTTGACGCTGTCACAGGAGGATCAGTGTCTCTACAGCCGTGTCACAAGTGTCTAACAACATACACTGGTGACAATGTTCCGGTAATAGGAGAGTGTATGGTTCATGTAAGTTATAATGGTCAAAGTGTTAAACTTCCTCTTCTTGTGGTTGAAGGAAATGGACCGCCATTACTAGGTAGGAACTGGTTAAGTGATCTTAAGTTAAATTGGGAGAGTATTTGTTCATTGAAGAATGTAAAAGAATCTAGTCTTACTTCACTAGATAAAGTTATATCTGAAAATAAATGTGTTTTTGGTAACTCTGGATTACTAAATGATAGAACAGTGAAGTTAAGCATTAAAGATACAAATCCAAGATACTGCAAAGCTAGAGTTCCACCTTATGCAATGAGGAATAAAATTGAAAATGAGCTAAGTAGATTGGAATCTAATGGCATTATAAAGAAGGTAGACTATTCCGATTGGGCAACGCCCATTGTGCCAGTGTTAAAGAAGAATGGTTCTATAAGAATTTGTGGAGACTACAAAACTACACTGAATAAGCAAATAGAGCTAAATAGGTACCCTATACCTAACATTGAGGAAATCTCTTTGAATTTGGCAGGAGGAGACAAATTCACTGAATTAGACTTTAGTCATGCTTACACTCAACTAGAACTGCATCCAGATTCAAAAGTCTATACGACAATAAACACACATAAAGGACTCTACCAATATGAAAGACTATGTTTTGGCATATCATCTAGCCCTGGAATTTTCCAAGCTGTCATGGACAGTATTTTTAAGGATATTCCAAATGTTTGTGTGTACTTTGACAATGTGTACATAACTGGTAAGAATGACACTGAACATCTTAAAACACTTGATAAAGTATTGAAAATTGTTGGTGAAAAAGGTTTAAAGATAAACAAAGATAAATGTCAATTCATGTTGACAGAAATTAGTTTTCTTGGTTATATATTGAGCAAGCAAGGTATCAGACCTCAACCTGAGAAAACAAAAGCCATTAAAGAAGCACCCAAACCTGAAAATACCCAACAACTAAGAGCTTTTTTGGGCTTGATAAATTACTATGCAAAGTTCATAGGGAATCTGTCTGGTAGACTATCACCACTGTACAAGCTGCTACAGAAAAATGCAACTTGGCACTGGGGTAAACAACAAGAAGCTGCTTTTAATACAGCAAAAGAGGCTTTGTCTGCTGACACCTTACTAACTCACTATGACCCAGGGAAAAGACTTATATTAACATGTGATGCTTCACCAGATGGTGTAGGAGCAGTCTTGTCCCACATGGATGAGAAGGGTGACAGACCCATTGCTTTTGCCAGTAGATCTTTGAATCAGGCTGAGAAAAATTATTCTCAGTTAGATAGGGAAGGCTTAGGCATCATTTTTGGTGTTAAGAAATTTCATAAGTTTCTGTTTGGTAGGAAGTTCACCATCTTTACAGATCATAAACCATTGCTAGGTTTATTTGGAGAAAACAAAACCCTACCTGAGCATGCCTCTCCAAGGATTCAAAGATGGGCTATCACACTAACTGCATACAATTATGAATTGAAATACAAACCTGGATCTGAGAATAGTGCAGATAGTCTTAGTAGATTACCTTTAAAAAACCAAAGCCTGAGCTATGTACCAGAAGATGTATTTGTTCTCTTCACTATCATGGATAACTCCAATATAAATGTGAATGATAGTAAAAGAGAAACACAAAAAGATGAGTGCTTAATAAAAGTATATGAGCACTGTATGAATGGTTGGCCTGAAGAGTCTGTGAATGATGACTAAAAGCCATATAAAATAAGAAATTAAAACCCTTTGTGAAGAAAATATAAAAGATGGAGAAGATGCAGTCCATTATCAGTCAGAGTTGCCTAAACAAAGTACTTGTAACTTAATAAATGATTATGGTGATATGGCAATTTCAAATGTTTTAAAGAAAATACATTAGTAAGAAGGAATGTGATCATCAAACAACTTTGCTAACATCATTAGCACTTACAGAAACTAAAAGGGTAACATCAAAAGAAAAGAAAAAAGATTTTTGCCATTTAATACACCCACTTCAAATACTGGATCACAGTTGCAAAGTGATATAGTCCAGGATATTACTTTTAAACAGTATTTTTGATTACCAGGAAAGCACTATCAGATTACCTGAGAAAATTAATCAATCAAAGAAATCTATGTCAGTCAAGGATCTGAATAATAGCATAATACTTTCAGATGCCAATTCAAAAATAGTTCCATTAAATCATGACAAACATTCATTGAAAGAGAATTTGGTGTTAATAAGAATGTGTATCTAAGAAATTATGGGAGAAAGGAAAAATGGATACCAGGTCAAATTGTTCAATGTACAGGACCTGTGTCTTATGAAGTTAAAAATAACTTGTGCAGATAATAAGTGTGAATCTATCAATCCCACCAAATCTGAACAGTTCACACCAACTCAGTTTGTTTCACAACCAAGTTCTGTTGATATGAGTGAACCAAGTTGTCTGGAGTCAGAAAATGTAAATTCTGGAGTTAATGATTTAAATCCTAGACCTCCTGAGATAGAGAATCCAGATGGTCAGAATCTTGAGTCACCAAATCAGAAGCCACTGAGAAGGTCAAGCAGGACAATCAAGGTCCCAAATAAGTTAGACCTATGATTCTAAAGGTCAAAAGGACTTTGACATTATTGTTTTGTATTTTGATTATGTTGTAGCATATTGTGCATTGTTTGTAAGGATGTAATCTACCATAATGTTCATGTTACAATATAATTGGTGATTTTAGGATACTATCAATTGTTCTATTGAGAGATGTGTTATTGTGTTCTAAGGGTAAAGGGATGTAATAGATTGAAATAATTGTGAGGTCAAGGGAACTCACTCTTCTGTATTAGTTATATTTATAATATTGTTATCTTGAGTGATGTCCCTTGTATACTTCCTTCCGTCCTCTCTGTGTGTGTTACCATCGTGGTAGTTAGACCCATTAAACGTGTTATATACAACCACAGGCTTCTGTCGTCAATCTATTATAGTTTATAACAATTGTAAGTAAAAATACTCTTAGATAATTTACACAACAATCTCAACTTTTGTTAAGTATTTAGTTAAATATGCGGTAAAAAAGTTAATTACAAAAGAAATTTAGCCTATATTTTGCCGTAGGCTATTCTCTGGTCGGCCTCTCCTCGGTAGGCATTGTCCGAACATATTTTGTATTTTTGACGTTATGTGTCATCGACAGCCTTTGAACCTTGTCGGCTTTCTGTTTTGATCCTAAGTTTTGTTATGTAATGAGCGTGATAAATGTGGGCAGTAAAGGTGGTTGAACTAAACATAACTATTGTTGCCATGAGTTGAGGGCAACAAGTCAGAAGAACTTACTATTTCACTGTAATTTAATGTTAGTATTTAAAAAAAAACACGATGAAAACCATAGACTTTGGAGCATTCTATTAAATGCTACTAATCTTAAGTTTAACATAATTACAATCTACATACTTCATACTAAGTATTTTTAGATTAATTATAAAAATTACTATGCGTATACAGCCTACACACATTAATAACATTTAATTAATACTAAGTTAATTTGCACTCTCTAAATATTTAATACATAAAAGTATTAACAAATATCAGGCAAATATATATTTGTGACTTTTTTTCCTGTGACTTTTTTTCCTGTGACTTTTTTTCTGTGTTTTTTTTCCCTGTGTTTTTTTTTTCCTGTGACTTTTTTTCCTACAATCTAAAAAAAAAAAAACCAAAGTCTGCTCATGACATTCTTATTCGGACTTTGGCAGGTCGTCCCTAGCCAGATGATCTTCTAATTAAGTCCGGGGACTGGCCGGCCAAAGGCCGAAATCAACCAAAGTTTCGGACTTTGAACGGTCAATCGGAGGCGATATTGGCCAATGCGCGCATTGGCAGACTTCGGGCTTTGACCGTAACAGGCCCTAAAGATGGTTAGCCAAGGGACACTACTACAAAATCACTGAAAATGTTTAGACCCGCATAGGTAGCAAAGTTAGGCCCCGGCCTACCTAGGCTAGATCTAGTAGATCTAGGGTCCCCATTTTCTGTTTCGCAGTTTTGAAAACGATCTTTAATTAATTATGATAAGAAGTCAAAATTTGTACCTCAAGGACAAGACCTGGAAATTCAAGCAGTGAGATAAAGTAAATCTATCCAAATCACTCAATATTAAATTAGCTATTTAGAATCTAAATCTAGATTATTTACTAGATTTAGATCTATGTGAAACCTAGCGAGAGTAGATCAAATTCTATTCTAAGACTATGATGACTAAGAGACTGACTAAGTAAAAAGTAAAGAGTAAGTTTGTATTTCACTACTATTTGACATTTGATTTCAGATAAATAAATATTAAATTATTAATTATTATGTAATAATATGTATTAGATCTATGTAATACTAGAAATTTCTACTGTTACAGTCAAAGTAGAATCTATTCTATTACATTCATAATGATAATATATCTATATAATACTAATAGCCCACTAATAGGCCCTACTAGTTAACAGTAAAAGCAGTCACTAAAAATGTATTATTTAATTAAATTAATATTTATGTAGGCCTAATGACTAGAGTCTTGTTACTTAATTATTACTTAGAAAATCACTTATTAGTAGTCTTAGTTACAGTTAGTAGATCTAGTAGTAAAGTACAAGATCTAGATCTAGTAGTTACTAGATCTAGTACTAGAATCTAGATCTAGTAGTAGTTAGTAGTTAGTAACTTGGTAGACAGTGTTTCTTCCAGACTTTTTGTTCCGGGGGGGGGGGGGGCACTTGAAATCTTCGGGGGGGCGGTAAACTTTCTTCGGGGGGGCGGACACTGTTAAAAGTATAGATTTTCTATATAAATTATATAAATTTCATTTCGTTCGGGGGGGCGGTAAATTTTTTTCGGGGGGGCGAAGCCCCCCCGAAGAGATGCCTGGAAGAAACTCTGTTGGTAGACACTACTAGACTAGAGATTGAGTAGCCTAATTTTATTCAATTTTATAAAAATTAATTTTATTTTGATGAATTCAATTCCATTTTGATCAGAAATAATTACTAGTCTTGTTGGGCACTTGTATGTCAAGGCTCAAGGTATCACTGTATGAAATACAGTGAGTATGTAGTACCACTGTTACCACTGTATGTTTGTTATATTTGTGTGTCCTTTATGCATTACTAGATCTACACCTTTTGTCCAATCGCTGTGAAACTTTGGGAAGTTGATAAAAAGTTAAAAACACTCTGGGAAAAGGTTTCTAAGAAAAAATTAAATTTTGTACAGAAGGTGCCCCCAGCAGGTTATATATCGGCCTATAAGTATATGTATGTATATATATATCTATATATCTAGACAGACAGACAGACAGATAGATATGTTTATATAGATATAAGTTTATATAGATATATATATAGATATATAGATATAGATAGATAGATATATAGATATAGATATATAAGAAAAGTCTAATATGGTTTGGCACTCAGAATTCCTGATTGGCTATCTTAGCACATGGTATCTGTTGATGGGGGGGGGGGTACTACTTGACTGAATGATAAAACTACACCATGTGCATCCTAGTGACCCAGAGCACTATGGCGCCCATGTTTTTAAAAAAAAAGGCTATACACTACAGGCATTCTGTACTACAATAATTATTGATTAAATCAAATCAGGTGCTTCCTGATGTTCCAACAGGGTTTGCATAGGCGCCCTGGGCTTCCCCATGAGCATTATTGTGCCTAAGCTAGTTTCAAAGTGCAGCATGTGTTTTGAAATTTGAATAATTTGTAGCTAAATTGAACCAGACACACCCCCCAGTGCCCCAGCAGTCGGGTGACCATGAGCACCCTGGGCTCTCCTGTGAGTACAATGTCATATACATTAGTTTTAAAAGTGTGCTTGAAATTATTTTGCTCATAGTCCCATCACTTTGCATATGATGTCCAGCTCTCACCTTTACTCTTTCAGGTTTAGTTTATAGATTTTTTTTTTAAATGACATCATAATGACTTCGCAAATGGAGAATCTCATAGTTACTATACTGTGAGAATTTGGTTACTGCCATGAATTGATTATAATTAAATTATGGTACTGTGGAATTTTGATTAAGAGGTGTTATTACTTGTTACTATATATCTAGTTCTTTTAAACAGTTTATTTGTCTTGGACAGATTTTAACATGAGCAGCTCTCAAACAGGAATAAAAGTACTCAGATGACAGTCATTTTCCTCAAAGAAACTTGTCAACCACTTTTCATTTGCTGAGGCTTCTCCTAGTCCTTCTACTTTCCCCCATAAATCTTTCCTTCTCTCAATTAAGTTTGTCTTGAAAGTCTCTCATGTTTGGGTATGCAGCCATACTTGCCTGTTTTTGTTATAGAATTCTTCATTCTTTTCATCTTTGGCAACATCAGCGAAACTTATGTGCAACAATTATTCATTAATGAGTTTAGAGGGCAACTCCTTTTTGGTTCTCCTCTTGTCTACCTGGCCTTATGATCAATTCTAATATTTCATTTTTTGCAAGCCATTACCCATCCTATCTAGCTTCTGTACCTCCAAGAATACTCAAATGTAGTGGCTCATTTCTTTGTATTATAAATTTCCAACATCTAATTTTATTGCTTTGATGGGCTGATGATATGTTTCAAATATTTTAAATTTGAATATCCATAGAATGAACTTTACTAAATGTTCTTGGTTTCTATTTGTCTGTTTCAGGTTTAATAGTAAAAAAGAAGCATGTCAAGAGGTAATGATTTATCAGGTTTTATTCGAGGATTGGAGTCAATTGTTCGTGCTGTGGTAGACAACCAAGGAACAGAGATCAATCGGATATGGCAAAACTCCAGTGTAAGGGAGGCTGTCAAGGACCTGGGGCTCAGAGTTGAAAGTACTTATGTAAATAGAGATCATCTGAAGGTAAGATTTAATTCTTTAATGGGGAAGTCATTTTTTTTATTTAGGGGAAAAAGAAATATTTTAAAAGTGTGTTATTTTAAAATGTTTTCCTTAGGATTTCGTGAATGAAAAAACATCTCAGTTGAGTGAAGCTTTGAACACAGTAAAAAGTGAAACAGCCACCCTGGCCAATACAATATGCAGACAGCCATCCAGTCCAAACAGTCATCCAGCTGCCAATACAATGGCATCAGACAAATCTTCTGCTTCAGGGCCAGTTGAAAACAAAATGGCTACAGACACAACAGTCAAATCTTCTGCTTCAGGGCCAGTTGAAAACAAAACGGCTACAGACACAACAGTCAAATCTTCTGCTTCACATTCATTTAAAATAGCTACCAGTGTCACACCGTCTGCCACACTTCATGTTGAAGGTATGTCATTTGATTGTAACTTCATGTTGAAGGTATGTCATTTGATTGTAACACTTCATGTTGAAGGTATGTCATTTGATTGTAACTTCATGTTGAAGGTATGTCATTTGATTGTAACACTTTATGTTGAAGGTATGTCATTTGATTGTAACACTTCATGTTGAAGGTATGTCATTTGATTGTAACACTTCATGTTGAAGGTATGTCATTTGATTGTAACACTTTATGTTGAAGGTATGTCATTTGATTGTAACACTTCATATTGAAGGTATGTCATTTGATTGTAACACTTCATGTTGAATGTATGTCATTTGATTGTAACACTTCATGTTGAATGTATGTCATTTGATTGTAACACTTCATATTGAAGGTATGTCATTTGATTGTAACACTTTATGTTGAAGGTATGTCATTTAATTGTAACATTTCGTTACACTGATTCCTAGTTGACGCAGAGTTTGAACTCTGAACCTGTGCCTGCCAAATGCTGAAGCCTCACTCACAACATGAAGTACAATATTTTTCTTAAAACAACCCACAATTTTTTGTAATTAGAACATACAATTTATTTTTCTGTGAAACTAGCTTTGTTTATTATAGAAAACATTATTACACAAAAATCAACATTAATAGAGGTATTGTGTGGACAATCCAACATGTGTCCCATTTTGATTGGCTGCTACATGTTTTTGTTGTTGCTTCACCAAAGTATTTTAATGCAATAAAAAATGAACTCTGCCCACTTGATATAACCCTGCCCACTACACTTGATTGGATAGCATCAATACTGTCATCATGCTATTTGTTGTTCTTAAACACTTTTGAAATTACTTGTTTTCTGACTTGGTTATTTTACATTGTAGGACCTTCTGCCCCCCTTCATTCACCCCCTGAGCTTACTTTATGGTCAATTACCCCCTGTATATTACCCCCTCTTCCAAAAAAAAAATAACTGTTGTAGCACATGACCCCAATCCTATCAGTAAGGTTATGCTAGAGATGGTTTAAGGATAGGACATTTTCTGCTTAATTTTCCACTTTCCAGTGTTTAACATTAGCCAAGGCAAAGTACAACATAATTTGTTTTACATAGGCACATTTGAAGTAATATGTTGAATAACAGCTTTCTCTCTCTGCTGGCAAGATGTATGGCAGGTTGTTTTTTCAAACTGTGGGGTTGTATTTACCTGTGTTAGACCTTTGATTGTAATATGTTATCAAGCTATTTGTTGTTTTGGCTTACATTGATGTAAAAAATCATGTACCATGAAAAGATTATTACAGACATGGTTGAGTGTAAGGGCTAATATGACTGTGTTCTGTCACATCAATCTGTTGTGTAGCTTTGTGACAGGTCAAAGGTTACAGGCTAATTGTTTCAGAATCAGCACTGAAGAGAGAGCCCCCAGTAAACAACCAGGCACAGTTTGTTGGGTCAGGTTTCCCTGGGGGTGTAGCCCAGACAGCCAGCATATCCATCAGTGATACACTCTCTGAGACAGTCACCAAGATCTCCTCAGTCGTTGTAGACAGCCTCAAGAAAACTTCAGGTAATGTCTCATGCCAATTTGTAGGTTTGGGGCTGTTGAAAAAGGCTTTATTATTTAGTTTCCAAACAATACTAGTGCTGTTTTTATTAGAATATTTTTCTACACTTGCTATAAGATGACTCATGTACTATGTGTAAAAATCCTGGCATTTCATGAAAGGATGTCGTTAGTTCACTTGGTTTCTGTGGCTGTGTAACCCATTCAAAGAGGACCCAAAACACTTGTATTTTCAGGTAGTGAGCCAGCTAAGGTGATTGTCAAGTCTGCAACTGACCAGATTTTATCAACTATACCTAAACTTGGAGACAGTCTTGCCAAACCTAAAATGTTTAAGCTGCCTCCACAACAAAAGGTAACCTCACATATTACCAATGCATCCAATAGTTACCTCCACAACAAAAGGTAACCTCACATATTACCTACACATCCAATAGTTACCTCCACAACAAAAGGTAACCTCACACATTACCTATGCATCCAATAGTTACCTCCACAACAAAAGGTAACCTCACACATGACCTACACATCCAATAGTTACCTCCACAACAAAAGGTAACCTCACACATGACCTACACATCCAATAGTTACCTCCACAACAAAAGGTAACCTGACACATTACCTACACATCCAATAGTTACCTCCACAACAAAAGGTAACCTCAACATTACCTACACATCCAATAGTTACCTCCACAACAAAAGGTAACCTCAACATTACCTACACATCCAACAGTTACCTCCACAACAAAAGGTAACCTGACACATTACCTACACATCCAATAGTTACCTCCACAACAAAAGGTAACCTGACACATTACCTACACATCCAATAGTTACCTCCACAACAAAAGGTAACCTCACACATGACCTACACATCCAATAATTACCTCCACAACAAAAGGTAACCTGACACATTACCTACACATCCAATAATTACCTCCACAACAAAAGGTAACCTGACACATTACCTAGACATCCAATAGTTACCTCCACAACAAAAGGTAACCTCACATATTACCAATGCATCCAATAGTTACCTCCACAACAAAAGGTAACCTCACATATTACCTATGCATCCAATAGTTACCTCCACAACGAAAGGTAACCTGACACATTACCTACACATCCAATAGTTACCTCCACAACAAAAGGTAACCTCACACATTACCTACACATCCAATAGTTACCTCCACAACAAAAGGTAACCACATTTTGCCTACACATCTAATAGTTACCTCCACAACAAAAGGTAACCACATAATGCCTACACATCCAATAATTACCTCCACAACGAAAGGTAATATTTCTCACACATTTGTTTTTCTCTTCAGTTGAGTGAACGTGCAAAGGAAAGGCGAGTTCCTGCATCACGCATTAGCCGTCTGATGAGTTATGGGGGTAACTGACTTGTTCTGTCAAGTTTGTTGAGTTATGGGGGTAACTGACTGGTTCTGTCAAGTTTGTTGAGTTATGGGGGTAACTGACTGGTTCTGTCAAGTTTGTTGAGTTATGGGGGTAACTGACTGGTTCTGTCAAGTTTGTTGAGTTATGGGGGTAACTGACTGGTTCTGTCAAGTTTGTTGAGTTATGGGGGTAACTGACTGGTTCTGTCAAGTTTGTTGAGTTATGGGGGTAACTGACTGGTTCTGTCAAGTTTGTTGAGTTATGGGGGTAACTGACTGGTTCTGTCAAGTTTGTTGAGTTTTGGGGGTAACTGACTGGTTCTGTGTAGTTAACTTGCCTGTGTCAGTGAAACATTTCTCTCACCTCTGTGTAGTTAACTTGCCTGTGTCAGTGAAACATTTCTCTCACCTCTGTGTAGTTAACTTGCCTGTGTCAGTGAAACATTTCTCTCACCTCTGTGTAGTTAACTTGCCTGTGTCAGTGTAACATTTCTCTCACCTCTGTGTAGTTAACTTGCCTGTGTCAGTGAAACATTTCTCTCACCTCTGTGTAGTTAACTTGCCTGTGTCAGTGAAACATTTCTCTCACCTCTGTGTAGTTAACTTGCCTGTGTCAGTGAAACATTTCTCTCACCTCTGTGTAGTTAACTTGCCTGTGTCAGTGAAACATTTCTCTCACCTCTGTGTAGTTAACTTGCCTGTGTCAGTGAAACATTTCTCTCACCTCTGTGTAGTTAACTTGCCTGTGTCAGTGAAACATTTCTCTCACCTCTGTGTAGTTAACTTGCCTGTGTCAGTGAAACATTTCTCTCACCTCTGTGTAGTTAACTTGCCTGTGTCAGTGAAACATTTCTCTCACCTCTGTGTAGTTAACTTGCCTGTGTCAGTGAAACATTTCTCTCACCTCTGTGTAGTTAACTTGCCTGTGTCAGTGAAACATTTCTCTCACCTCTGTGTAGTTAACTTGCCTGTGTCAGTGAAACATTTCTCTCACCTCTGTGTAGTTAACTTGCCTGTGTCAGTGAAACATTTCTCTCACCTCTGTGTAGTTAACTTGCCTGTGTCAGTGAAACATTTCTCTCACCTCTGTGTAGTTAACTTGCCTGTGTCAGTGAAACATTTCTCTCACCTCTGTGTAGTTAACTTGCCTGTGTCAGTGAAACATTTCTCTCACCTCTGTGTAGTTAACTTGCCTGTGTCAGTGAAACATTTCTCTCACCTCTGTGTAGTTAACTTGCCTGTGTCAGTGAAACATTTCTCTCACCTCTGTGTAGTTAACTTGCCTGTGTCAGTGAAACATTTCTCTCACCTCTGTGTAGTTAACTTGCCTGTGTCAGTGAAATATTTCTCTCACCTAGGACTGGCTGCTGGACTTGGGATGGGAGCTATTGCTGAGGTCACCAAACGCTCCCTGGGCATGAAAGATGAAAGTAAGTCTTGGAATGTCTCTTATTGAACGGTACTGGTGTAAACAGGAGAAAATAATTTTGTGCTGCTCTTAATAAATAAATGAAAGCCCTGTATCAATAAAAGTACCATGTGTGTTTAGTGACAGTGTTTGATTGGAGACATGCATATGGTTACATCTTGGGATTGAACTACAGCATGAACTTTAGAAAATGATCTGTATGGCTGACATCAATGTATGGCAGAATGAAGTTTAAAAAACCTGATTGGTTCCCCAAAAGGTATGTCCAAGTCATTGATTGATTTGCTTCTCATGTTTCAGCTGCCACTGGCAAGGGAGTTATGGATTCCAATCCATTCCTCACAGAGGCAAACGCAGAGAGAATAGTCAACACATTGTGCAGAGTCAGAGGGGCTGCTCTCAAACTGGGACAGATGCTCAGCATCCAAGGTACCATTTCCTCCATTGCACCTAGCCAAAATCTAACAATGCGTTTACACTTGCGACATGTACACTACATAGGTGCCACTTTTCCGGGATATCCCGGGATTCTGTATTCAAGAACCGTATTTTTTTCACTTTCCGGATTCTCAAAATTTGAGTTTAAAAATTTCCGGGGTTCACAGTTTAAAAAAAAATCAAGACTGTTTTGAAAATCGTGCCATTAAGGTTCAAGGTTTTAAAAATTTCAGATTTTGGTTTCAGCATGGGTAAAATTAGGGGATTGAATTTCAGGATGGGTAAAATTAGGGGATTGATTTTCAGGATGGGTAAAATTAGGGGATTGATTTTCAGGACGGGTAAAATTAGAGGATTGATTTTCAGGATGGGTAAAATTAGGGGATTGATTTTCAGGATGGGTAAAATTACGGGATTGATTTTCAGGATGGGTAAAATTAGGGGATTGATTTTCAGGATGGGTAAAATTAGGGGATTGATTTTCAGGATGGGTAAAATTAGGGGATTGATTTTTCAGGATGGGTAAAATTAGGGGATTGATTTTCAGGTTTTGCTGGGGAAAAAAACTTGCATCAAGCTAATGTTATAGGAAATATTTTTCGAGCGGAACATGTATACTCACTTGCTGCCGTTTTTTTTCCTAGATGTGTATCATTTACATGTCACAAGTGTAACTGCAGTATAAGAGACAATCTTATAACCCTTATAAACCCGACCTGCTCAGTGTCTTTACATCTATGAGTCTCTTAGACTGTTCCTTTTATCCTTGGGTAGGGATCTTAACTATTACAGCCCTTAACTATTTTGCTCTTGCATGTTAGCTTACATGTTAGCTAGATTTTACAATAGCCCCCTCATACCCAGAAGCTATTTAGCCATCTAAACTAATCTCATAGCACTAACAATATGTAGCTGGCCATCTAAACTAATCTCATAGCATTAACAACATGTAGCTGGCCATCTAAACTAATCTCATAGCATTAACAATATGTAGCTGGCCATCTAAACTAATCTCATAGCATTAACAATATGTAGCTGGCCATCTAAACTAATCTCATAGCATTTACAATATGTAGCTGGCCATCTAAACTAATCTCATAGCATTAACAATATGTAGCATGCCCCTATAGTTTATGCATAATTGAATAATGATGTAAACACTTAATGAAGAGAATGTGCTAATCATCAAGTTACCACAAATGTTTTATAATGGTCTAAATTAGAGTTAATGATACCATCAAGACTACTATGTAGTTGTAGCAGCTCTGTCCCATTTAGGTTATAAATATTAACATTTGAAAATATAGCCATCCTATTCTGATTTTCGATTTACAGCTGACTATCAGATCTATATTAATCCTTGTCTTTAAGTTATGTTTGAATTTTCTATTTCTACAGATAACTCTTTCATCAATCCTCAACTCCAGGCTATTTTTGAACGTGTTAGGCAGAGTGCAGATTTTATGCCAACTTGGCAAATGAAGGTCAGAAAAAAAACATTTTTGTTAAAATGTATCTGTTTTAAATTTTGTGCTGTTGTTTTAAACCTTCACCCCATTAAATTTTGACTTTACTGGCCACCAGTTGTTCACAGTTGAAGCCAGTCAACATGAAAAAATGAGAGTTGTTCACCCCTTGTGTCTCAGCACAGTTTTCTGTCTGCAGTCTGCAACTTTCCACACTATAAATACTTTGATAATTGCTACAGGCAGTTGCTTGCATGGCTTAAAGTCAAACAGAATCATGAGTTGTATCAATTCTTTTTTATATCTCCAGAAAGCATTAAATAAAAATTTAGGACCTAACTGGCAAGAAAAGTTTTTGGAATTTGATGACAAACCATTTGCTGCAGCATCCATTGGTCAGGTACACAAGGGGAAACTACTTGATGGTCGAGATGTGGCCATGAAAATACAAGTAGGTAACACTCTACAGGTTGTGTTTTAACATTTTAGTGTCAAAAATGTCAGCATTTTGTCAGGGGTTGTAGAGTGGTGTGTCAGGGGTTGTAGAGTGGTGTGACAGGGGTTGTAGAGTGGTGTGACAGGGGTTGTAGAGTGGTGTGACAGGGGTTGTAGAGTGGTGTGACAGGGGTTGTAGGGTGGTGTGACAGGGGTTGTAGAGTGGTGTGACAGGGGTTGTTGAGTGGTGTGACAGGGGTTGTAGAGTGGTGTGACAGGGGTTGTAGGGTGGTGTGACAGGGGTTGTAGAGTGGTGTGACAGGGGTTGTAGAGTGGTGTGACAGGGGTTGTAGAGTGGTGTGACAGGGGTTGTAGAGTGGTGTGACAGGGGTTGTAGAGTGGTGTGACAGGGGTTGTAGAGTGGTGTGACAGGGGTTGTAGAGTGGTGTGACAGGGGTTGTAGAGTGGTGTGACAGGGGTTGTAGAGTTGTGACAGGGGTTGTAGAGTGGTGTGACAGGGGTTGTAGAGTTGTGAGACAATAGTTTCTTACTAGTTCATGCAGTGAAAATATATGTTTAAAGAATAAATGGGACTAAGACTGATGACATTTTTAGTACCCTGGGGTAGCAGAGAGTATTGATTCTGACATTTTTAGTACCCTGGGATAGCAGAGAGTATTGATTCTGACATTTTTAGTACCCTGGGATAGCAGAGAGTATTGATTCTGACATTTTTAGTACCCTGGGATAGCAGAGAGTATTGATTCTGACATTTTTAGTACCCTGGGATAGCAGAGAGTATTGATTCTGACATTTTTAGTACCCTGGGATAGCAGAGAGTATTGATTCTGACATTTTTAGTACCCTGGGATAGCAGAGAGTATTGATTCTGACATTTTTAGTACCCTGGGATAGCAGAGAGTATTGATGCTTACATTTTTAGTACCCTGGGATAGCAGAGAGTATTGATGCTTACATTTTTAGTACCCTGGGATAGCAGAGAGTATTGATTCTGACATCAACAATCTGATGGCTGTCATGACGGTCTGGAAAATCCTGCCTGAAGGTAGGTATTCACTTTTTAAAGCTGTTCAATACACTGGCCACAAGGTAACAGTAAATAATGCATTAACTAATGGCTCGTTAAAACTCCACCCACCGTATCAGCCATAGCATCGTTAAAAATTAATAGTGAAGTCTTGGTATCTGTACATATACATTTAGAACAATTTAGTACAATCATTTGACTGTTGGTTCCATACAAATGTTGATTACACTGCATAGAGAGGGTGTATATGTTCCCTTAGAAGTCTTGTCATGTTCCCTTAGATGTCTTGTCATGTTCCCTTAGATATCTTGTCATGTTCCCTTAGATGTCTTGTAGTGTTCCCTTAGATGTCTTGTCATTTGCCCATTGCTGTCTTGTCATGTTCCCTTAGATGTTTTGTCATGGTTCTTTTAGATTTTTGTAGTTTTAAAAATTGTAATGGTTTATTTCTGTTTTGTATATGTCTGCTTTGACCCTGTTTTTTTTTAATCCAGAGAAAAATATATTTTCTACTATGGAAATAAAGTATATTAAAGTAAAAGTTCCCCTTTCAAACCTGACGGTCTATAGGGCAAGTGAAGTAGAGTTCACTTGTTTCTGTGACCTCGACGTGGGTTAGGTACCCTCAGGGACGGTCTACCGAATTGAACCTGGATTCGAACTCGAGACTTATGGGTTAGAAGTCCAGCTCTCTACCGCTAGACCACTCCGTCCCATAATGTGAAAAATATCTGTGTATAATTTGTTACCCATGTCAGCTGGTTCCTGTACTGTTTGCCTACAAATGTTTGTACACCATCCTACAAATGTTTGTACACCATCCTACAAATGTTTGTACACCATCCTACAAATGTTTGTACACCATCCTACAAATGTTTGTACACCATCCTACAAATGTTTGTACACCATCCACAGGGCTTTATGTGGACAGTGTTATAGCTGCAGCCAAAAGAGAGCTGGCTTGGGAAGTGGATTACATTAGGGAAGCTGAATGTTCTAGAAAATTCAGGTCAAACATTTTTAACACTCTTCTCTGTGTTAGGGTGTCATACAACTTTATAGTTTTAATGTGTCATACAACTTTATAGTTTTAATGTGTCATACAACTTTATAGTTTTAATGTGTCATACAACTTTATAGTTTTAATGTGTCATACAACTTTATAGTTTTAATGTGTTATACAACTTTAAGTACATATTATAAAATTACCTGAAATGTTGGTTTGACCCCTTTAAACATTTTCGAACATTTTCATTCCTCTTACTGCTATTTAAATGTATGGTGGTGTATACAAAATTCACTCAGCATTGATTGGTGATCCCATTCATTGGTTTTTTTTTTAATACAATGTTTAGTACAATTATTTAAATATTGTTTAATAGCTAAATAACACATGAAAAACTCACTGTCAGTGGAAGTAATCTCAAATGCTGTGGTTCTTGACCTTTTTGTAAATACCAAACCTCAACAGTTTTATATGCACATTCACAGAACCCTTCTTAATAGACAAAATCAAACATGATTTTTTTTTTCAAATTCAGAACATAGGCATATATTTTACAGAACATGGGCATATAATTTACAAGAGCACTAAATGAACCATGCAGCATGCATCAACATCACTTTGTTAAAAAAAAACAATTAAAATATAATTTTCAGACAAAAACAAAAACAATGAATATTTACTGCAAATCAATTTGACTTCTGCTGTTGTCTTTCAGACACCAATTGAGAAGTGCACGGCTTCACCATGAATTCAGAGAACGTTGTGTTCTTTTATTTTCTCCAGCTTAACAGAGTGTTCTCTTATTTTGTGCTAGACTAGATTTGCTCTACTTGGCATTGCATAGGATGCTGACTCAAGTTTCATTATAGGCGCCTATATGTGAATCCATATTGTACATTAGACATGCCTACCATTCCGCCAAAAGCAGAATGGTTCCGCTTTTTTCCAAAAAATCAAGTCCTGCCAGCCCATTTTTGTCAAAGTTTGTCCCGTTTTTTTTTTTTTTTTTTTCAAAAATTAATTAAGAAAAGTAGTACATCGAATTGAAATAAAAGGCAGGGAAAAGCAATTATCTCCCTTTGGCACACATTTCCATTTCCTAGTTTGCATACACTATTTACAAGTATCATCTAATCTAATACTAGTTCTACTAATAGACAATGTGGACAATCTAGCTTCTGAACGTTCTTTTTAGTATTAGCAATTGAATTGTAAATTTAAATTATGCCTTCAATAAAATGCAGGGAGAAAAATAAAATCATGACTAACACGCTAATTTCTAGATCTAGATAGATCTAGTTGTACTAGGTACTGAAGTGAATAGATAGTGAGAATACTGATCTAATCTATCTATAATCTTGTAAGTTGTAACTAACTAGTAGCTACTATTATGAAGAACTAAGTAAGAAGTAACTAGGACTTTTACTAGGTAGATCTAGGTCTTAGCTCTTACTCTTAACTTATATTTCACACGAAGCTTTCAGCATTTGTTATTCATATAGCCTAAAACATAGCAAGGCATAAATAATCAAATCAATAATGTTATGTCAAAGCTATGGTTTTTATTGAGGGGGGGGGGGGGGGGGGGTGTGTTACTGGTTAACTTTTTAAAAAAAATGTAAGCTGACATTAAGCAGTATTTAAATGTAGCCTAGAGACTAGTTATATATATTAGACAAATTTTAATTAATTATTTTTATTTTTTACTTAGTAAGGTAGCTTTTGCGCGTATGTTCCTCTTTTTGGCTTCAAATTCCTCTTTTTAGGCATGACTGTACCTACTTTTGGCTGACAGGGGTAGGCATATCTGTTGTACATGTTTGTCCACTTTTTTTTTGCTGGACATAAGTAGTATGAATGGATTAAAATATTCAGAAAGAAATCCCACACATACCATCACAAGAGTCACATGTTGACTGCTGGGCCAGGATATAGAAATAAAAAGTGTGTTTCATCACAAGGTGCCTGTGTAGGTGGTGTTGACTTAATTTGTGACACACTTCAGCGACGTTATGTCTATGGTTCAATGATATTGAAATATTAAAACACTGATAAAGGTTATCTCGCTCTAGCCCACTTTATTTCTGTTTTGTGCTGTCATAATCGTTCGATCATCAGCTGCTAGTCATATCATTTGCACTGACAAAAATCTATTGTTAATCATATAAGTCAGGTGTTAATCTCGACCTCTGCTGAACCCAGGTTAAGAACCACTGCTCGATATTTTGTACAAGCATACAGATGTTGGTTTTTTTTTTAATGTAGATTGTTGCTCATTTTTTCTTTGTTTAGAAAGTTGCTTAAAGATGATCCCTTCTTGTATGTTCCTGAAATCGTGAATGATTTGAGTGATAAATACGTGCTGACATCAGAGTTTATACAAGGAGTCCCTGTGGACCAGTGCGTTGACTTGGAGGAAGAGACTAGAAACAAGGTCAGCACCAATAGATTTTTGTATGGCCTGAGGCATTAGTACTTCTGAAGCTGTCCATGTTGGTCAGTAATTCTGAAGCTGTCCATATTGGTCAGTACTTCTGAAGCTGTCTATGTTGGTCAGTACTTCTGAAGTGGTCCATGTTGGACAGTACTTCTGAAGCTGTCTATGTTGGTCAGTACTTCTGAAGCTGTCCATGTTGATCAGTACTTCTGAAGCTGTCTATGTTGGTCAGTACTTCTGAAGCTGTCCATGTTGGTCAGTACTTCTGAAGCTGTCCATGTTGGTCAGTACTTCTGAAGCTGTCCATGTTGGTCAGTACTTCTGAAGCCATGTTGGTCAGTACTTCTGAAGCTGTCCATGTTGGTCAGTACTTCTGAAGCTGTCCATATTGGTCAGTACTTCTGAAGCTGTCTATGTTGGTCAGTACTTCTGAAGCTGTCCATATTGGTCAGTACTTCTGAAGCAGTATAATAAATACCAACACAAAATGCAACCATTACATTGCTGCTCATGAGCACAGGAATGTCCAGGCCATCTCATCTTCTAGCTCTGTTAATTAATTATACTACTTTTAAATAGTGGTTTTTAGTTGATAAACAAAACTATGCTGTCTTTGGTCTAACAAGATCAGATGTTTTTATGATGAAGGTGATAGAGGGTTATTAAATGATTGATGTAGTCAAACATTACAAGACTCAAGACCTACCAGAATATATGAGGCTCTAATTATTTTTAATTTGAGTATGTATTAATATGAAATGTCCTGGAAATGTTTTAGAAAGCTGGAAACATACTGGTTAGGAAATTCCCCTGCTTCCCACCCCCACCCCTTGTGAAAAAAATTCTGCTTTTTAATTTGACTAAGGCGGGCAGCTATTTGTGTGTGTATGAAATAAATGAGGCTGCCATTATAACTCTGCCCCATTCAGGTAATCACAACATGTCTTGTATCCCCAGATTGCTCATGCCATTTTAAAGCTCTGTTTGACCGAGTTATTTGAGTGGAGATTCATGCAGACAGATCCCAACTGGTCCAACTTCTTTTACAACCCTGAGACAGATAAGGTTAGTTTTCTGACAGCGCTATCAACACCAGCAAATTCACACCAACTAGATTTGTTTTAAGTGAGCTTAATGTACCTATGATGGTAGATGTTAGAACATTAGTGTGTGTATATATATATATATATATATATATATATATATATAATGAGAGAGAGAGATAAAAAGTAATAACTATGATGCTAAACTTTAGACGTGTACACATATTTACATTGTTTAGCTTATTCTTCTTGACTTTGGAGCCAGTCGAGACTTCAGCAAGAACTTTGTAGATAAATATATCCGTGTGATCAAGGCGGCAGCTGAAGGGGACAGGCATCAAGTGCTGGTCAGATCCAGAGCTCTGGGCTTTCTCACAGGTTATGAAACCAAGGTACCACACCTGCTTTCATTCTCGTCACTTAACATCAGCTTTTTATCTTCTATTTTAAGCTTTATTTAATGGGTTAAAAAAAAAAATTTAATTTTGTTTGTTCAGTAATTTAAAAGTCAGTTTTAAAACTGCTTGATTCTGGTCATGAAAACCTAGGTGATGGAAGAAGCTCACTGTGATGCTGTTGAAATTCTCGGGGAAGCATTTTCTGTGGATGTCTTTGATTTTGATCGACAAAGTGTTACAGCTCGTATACAGAATTTGATTCCAGTCATGATGAAGCATCGCCTGACACCCCCGCCAGAGGAAACATACAGCCTGCATCGGAAGATGTCAGGGGCTTTCCTCCTTTGTGCTAAACTACGTGCCAAAGTTGATTGCCGTACCATGTTTGATGATATATGGAACAACTACCAGTTTGGTGACACAGACGACTTAAATCTTTAACTTTAGATGTCTTAGAATTTGTAGCATTGATACCACAAAGAACATAGTGCCTGTAACTTAATGTTAGATTTGATGTAAGCATTGATGTCTAAATAATAAAAAAGAAGAAAGTACCATTTATAAATGTTGCATCCACTGTTTATTTTTGGTGAGACTGGGTAGACAGTTGTTATTTGTAAGTTGATGAATCACTATGGGATCCCTCTAAGGAAGTTCATCATCATCCAAAAGCTCCAACTTCCAGAGAATCCACAACAGGTTATTAGCCCTCTTCAGTGAAAATCAAAGTAGAGCAAGGGTGTGTATCCCAATGATGGAATATAAGGAGTACAAGTAGAGAAAAATTCAGATTTTTTTCGGACCATGCACTGATCAGCATGAGGACCTGTGTTTTGCTGATGACATCGGCTTCCTCTCACAGCAAACCCATAAAGGGTTCATCCATTAATGACGTCACGCTTTTTTTGGTCGATTTTTTTTACCCCCTTCCCCTCGGTCACCAATCGTCACAAAAAGCCAGACCCTTTCCCCCCCCCCCCCCCCCCTAAAATGACTTCACACCTCAGCCTACAACCCCCCTCAAAATTGCAGTTGAATTTTTCTTAAAACATCGATATTTTTCAAAAATCTTCTCTGAACTCAGTCGACATAGAGTATTTTAATCAATTCCTATTACAATTTATTAAAATAGTTTTTTAAAACCCGAAATAACAGCTAAAGCTCATTTTCTAACATTGCTTTTTACTTTCTCGATTATACGAAGTATAGAGAAAGTCTTGTAATCGTGCAAAAATAAAAATCGGGATTTTTTACAAATCTCGACGTTTTACACCTCACTGATACGGAAAAACATAATTTTGCAATCTTGTCCGTATGTCTGTCTGTGTCTGTGTGTAAACACGATAACTTGAGTACCGTTACAGCTAGGTTGATGAAATTTCATAAATAAGTATTTTATCAAAATCGTAGATCCATATCAACTTTTGAGCGATTTCCGATAACCGGAAGTGGTACTTTTTTCTACTTTGAATTTTTAAAAAGCCTATAACTTGAGTACTTTGTTTAGTACTTTACATGTTTTAATTTACAATAGAGTTACATGACTAAAAACCATTGCGCGCCTATTGAACGTGATGACACGCTATTGAAGGTGATGAAGCTTGTGGAGTAGTTGGATAGAACTGCCCACTAATTTGGTCACATTTTTTATTAATTCATAAAAAAATTAACCAGGCGACTAATTATGTCAAATTGAATGTCATGATGCGTTGTCTTCATGTCTTGGACCCACGTTCCAACTACGAACCGTATCTGTCAGGTAGAAGTGCCTACAATTTTGCTCGGGCGTTTCGATCTAGACAGACAGACTGACTGACGAGGAAGTGAGTAAAATAAAAGTTTGTACAAAAATTTCATAAAAAACGTTTTCATACCAAGCTTTTATGTACTAATGCACTAAAAAGTAGAAAATAAATTATAGACTACTATTTAAATAACTATAAAGAAAAGCGTGGGCCACTTTAGTATCTATTGGATACCTTTACTAATGTTTATTTTCTTTATAGTTATTTAAATAATAGTCTATAATTTATTTTCTACTTTTTAGTACATTAGTACATAAAAGCTTGTTATTATAACGTTTTTTATTAATTTTTTTAGTACTTTACATTTTACATGTGTTGCGTAGGGGTTGTTTTGTTAACCGATTGGTAGAGACAGAGAGAGAGAGAGAGAGATGGTGATGGAATTATTCTCTTAAATCCGTGCATCCCTTGTGGGGTCCAAGGAGGTTTACCAGACCTGAGCAAAACTAATTACTTTTCACTAATACAACATTAATATTAAACGAAAAATAAAACTTAGCGTTTCAATACATTTATTACTTATTACAGACAACACAATAGATTTCAGCGTTACAATAATCAGAACGAATTACAATATCATCACTCTACATACTTTCAGTACCGGTACTCACAACTAACCCAGCCATACATAACAGGGACTGTCAACAGGACAGCTTCTCGATGACAGCCGCAGGTTGACATCTCGATGACAGGTACAGCAACAGATTCTCATAGGACAGCACAGGTCGACATTACGACGACAGGTACAGCAACATAGCTCTCCGCTGATCTCCTTGCGACAACCTAGCCTCCGTCCCGTCCCCAGGTATGTGACCTATGGGGAAACGGGGGGGGGGGGGGGGGGGGAGCAGTGTTTCTTCCAGATTTTTTTCTCCGGGGGGGTTGCACTTGAAATTTTCGGGGGGGGGGGGGGGGGGGGGGGCGGTAAACTTTCTTCGGGGGGGGGGGGGGGGGGGGGGGGGACGACACACACACTGTAAAAAAGTATATATTTTTCTATATACCAGCCCACACATTATTTTATTTACAATATAGTTTCATGACTAAAAACCATTGCGCGCATATTAACGGTACTCAAGTTATCGTGTTTACAGACACACCCATACACACACAGATATACAAGATTGCAAAACTGTTTTTCCGTTTTAGCAGTGTAAAACGTCGAGATTTTTAATAATCTCGATTTTTATTTTTGCACGATTACAAGACTTTCTCTATACTTCGTATATACGAGAAAGTAAAAAGTTAGGATATATAGCATCTTCACAAAATGTCTCCTAAAAACTTAAAATAATAATCATTAAAAAGTTTTTAAAAACCCACGTTTTCTGATTGAACTAAAAAGTAGAAAATAAATACTATACATCACAATAATGCAAGCGATCACTCTAGTATAAGCGATGAAAACGTGGGGCGCCGAAGTAAAAGTTATATTACTATTGATTAGATAATACTATTGACTTTTATTATGGAGCTTGTAGAGAGTCAACAGTATTAGAAACTGTAAGAAAATCACGGCGCCCCACGTTTTTCATCGCTTATAGTAGAGTGATCGCTTGCATTATTGTGATGTATAGTATTTATTTTCTACTTTTTAGTTCAATCAGAAAACGTGGGTTTTTAAAACTTTTTTAATGATTATTATTTCTACTTTTTAGTCTTTGTCTGTTTGTTTGCATTGAAATCTTGCTATCGATTTTATCTTTTCACTTTTTTTTGGGTAAACGAAGACAACTCGTTAAAAAGACAACTCGTAAAAAACGAGAGACCCTTTCTTCTTCGGTCTCAATCGCAAAGTGGAATGATTGTCAGAGGTTAGTTGATAGCGGTTAGGACGAGGGCTGGTTACTGACTAGAACACATAGATTTGAACCCGTGTCGAGTGGGATAGCAATCGTGTGCCCAACCACTCGACCATATCGTCTCCCCCAAACTGGCACCAGTGGTAATAGTTACCTCCTGTAAGTTTAAAGTCGGTTCAAACTAAATTATCTGCCCCTAAGCCTGTCGCGACGTGGGATCGTTCGCTTCACTGCGCGCGGCAAGAGAGAGGCGAGCTACGAGTCGCTCGTTTTTTTTTCTAATGGCTCGCAGAGGAGAATTATATATATAGATTATATAGCGGTCTAAAATGCTCAATAAAATGTTTCCATTGATCAATTTAGTAATAATAACAATTGAATATTCTATGGTCATCCAAAAGAAAGCTTCCCTGAAAATTTCAGCGCGCTAGCTAACTGGGAAGTGCCAGAAATTTCGATCGCAAGATTTGATTGGAAAGACAAACAGAGAAAGCAAGTTAAAGAAAACGTGGGAATAACTATGCTTTCCCGTGCTTTTGTCTGTCGTGGGTCGAAACTGGCGCGCAAAATTTCGACCATTTCAGATTGAATAATTTCTTTCTAACTAGGCATGTGGGTCAAGACCCAATGACAACGGCACATCAAATTTGGCCCGATTAATTGCTTATTTAATTTTTTAAGGGGTAATTAATATTTTTTTTTTGGTATGCATTTGTTTTAGTCATGCAATTCTATTGGATAAGCATTTTTAAGGTATTGAAAAGAAGTGTAATAAAAACCCCTTTTTAATTACTGTGATTTTTAATGTGATTTTTGTGCACGATTACAAGACTCTCTCTATACTTCGTATATACGAGAAAGTAAAAAAGGAGATAGCCATGGATGGGGCACATCTTAAGAATGAATCCTGGAGACATTGCAGGATTGACGCTACACTGGATCGAGATTAAAGAAGTAGAATCTACCTTTAGTCTGTATGATCTGCAAATGCGACCATTGTTTCTTTCAAAGCTACACGAAAAAGAAAAACGTCATTGATTCTAGAGTAAATAAATCTAATGCCACAAAAATAATGGCGTAATCAATACTTGATAATAAAGACACTAACATTACCGCCTAATTTATATGTTTAATCTTAAAAGTAGTATGCATGTAGAGTTTCTTTCAGACATCTCATTGGGTAATTGGGCAGAGTCTGAAAGAAACACTATATTAGATTTAGTCGCCAAAAGTAGGAAAAGGGTCTAGATAATAGAAGTAGGGTCTACATTTAGTGTGTATTATCTACAAATGCGACCAGTGTTTCTTTCAGACATTTTTCTCCCCGGTGTGGGGGGGGGGGGGGGGGGGGGGAAGGGGTCACTTGAAATTTTCGGGGGTGGGGGATGGACTAAATTTTCCGGGAGAGAGGGGCGGACATTAGTAAAAGTTGTTA